TTCGACGAGTATTGTAAAGACACAGGACGTCGCGCTGTGACCTGAGTACGGTTACGGCAAGCGACCTAGCTTACATTCTGCGACATGCATACGTCGAATTCCGTCCGAAAAAAGCTGGAGTGAAGTTCTACTCTGCATCAAGCTTGCTCGGTTTCCGTTCCGCAATACATCGCAAGCTACCTGTACGTAGTCGAGTTGAAGCGGCCCATGAACGTCCACAGTGACCCAGCGTTCAAGGACGCAAACTTTGCATTGAAGGTTTTCCTCATGAAGCCAAAGAAAGTGGGAGAATTAGTCAAAGCGGTGGAGCACAAACACCCCATCAACGACGACGACATGAGCAAGCTGTCCCGCTGCTTCCAGGATCTCCCGTGTATACAGCAGCTGCTCGAAAGAAGTGTTCCTCTAAAACTGTAAAAGTAAAAATGAACGCGGCTGCACTGGTTGTGCTGTGTTGTATGACTGTGAAATGATAGCAGGGTTGCATGCTAGGGAGTAGGGTTGCACCAGACTGTGTCAAGTGTGTGGTGACAGACTGTGTGGTGGCAGGGGTGCGATAAATGTATTACTGCACTCGGACGCGTGCAATACCGGCGTCGATATCTGCACTTACGGCTTCGCCGTTCGTGCAGATATCGGCCGGTATTGCACTGGTCCTTGTGCAGTAATCATACTTATTATTATTATCATGCATGCCGCCCTCTTTCACTGAACGGCGGTGCTCTGTAGATCTCCACGTAATCTACCCAGGGCGCAGTCAGTGCCCGCCGACTATCGCAGCTGAGCACAAAGAGCTGCTGAACGAAGAGTGTGTCTGCCATGACATGTGCCTGCTTTCATCCAGCTCGTGCCCACAACTAATGTTACTTGCACGAGGCACAAGGTCATGAAACAAAAATCAGAATGATGATTATCTGGTACGACTATCGCTTTTCTGCCGACTGGCGAAGCTAGACTTTACTTGGAACTATTACTTCGGTGGATGGAAGCTGACACTAATTGTAGCTGGCGAGTGCAAAGCGAGAACGTGCTGAGCAGCAAATCAAAATTAATGACTGTGGGAGCCAGCCTTTCCAGGCAACGTATTGGAACCGGTGGGTTCATTGCGAAGCTGATCGCAACGGGCGCATTTCTCCTGTTCGTAGTGGTACACTCATTACGCGCGACATTGGCGAACACCAACAGCTTCCTAAGACCAATGCCACGGCGAGCCGACGGGACGATCAGTACAGCGCGGGCCACCACCGAGCCTTCTCAGCTGGTCTTGTTGCAGAGTATTCTAGACGAGGCATTCTCCGCAGCCTCGGCTCGTGCAGATGCTCATATTGACATTGGTATGGACGAGCGAGAGCGTGACCGATGGAGATACATGGGAAAAACCCCACTGACGAATCTCTCACGTCTCGACTGCAAATCGGATCTGCATAACTTCACCGGTATACCATGGCTGGATGGCATTACTGCCAAAACCTACCGACAAAATCAGCAGCAGCAGCAGCAGAAGCAAAAATTGAAAGGTTTAAGGTGCAAGCCTGACCTTACGAACTCAGGACAATGCCAGGGAGGCACAGGAGGAGAATCACAACAGACATGCAGAGCACTTTTGCTTATAGTGTTGTTCAACTGGCCACTGCATCATCAAAACTCTGTGTTTATTCGTAGATTGTATGAGGGTGCCTTTAGCAATATTGTGTTCTACTCGGAGACTGGTCATCCCAAGTATGGCGTCAGGCCAGCACCTCGCATTCGCCGCGGTACCAGACAGCCCGTTGTGATTGCACAAGCCATACTGGAGCATCCCTGCTATGATGGGTACATGTGGATTGGAGATGATGTCCTTCTCAACTTTCCCTATGTCCTCACGCAGCTGAATACTTCCAAGGTCTGGACGCTGCCAGTATCGGTGCCGTGGGAGCCGGTCTTCCCACACCCTGGGCATGAGCAGGTCTTCCCACACCCTGGGCGTGAGCAGCCTACGCCCAAGTGGGCGCACTGGGATTCACCGGACGGACTCAAGGCAGTTCGGAAGGCGTACCACTGCATACGACCTATGTACATACAGCGAATGCCCACGGCACTGAAATGCGGTTATCATTGCCTGCGAAAGGTGGCGTCAGACGTCGGCTACATTCCCACGCGGTTTGCCAAGGAGTTTATTGAGCTTTCTTTTGTCTTTCGTAATGTGTACCACGAGATTGCTCTTCCCAACATTCTCCGTTTGATCGTTCCCGATATGAAGCATGACTTTAGTATGCGTCCGGGCCCAGCTGTTTACACATGGGAAGGCGGCCAGCAGCAGAAATTCAATGAAGTGAAGAAGCGGTTTAATGAAACCAGCACATCCGCTCACCCAGTCAAGTATTCGCTTCCCGGGGCGAAAGAGTATGCACTGCGACAACTGAACAAGTCGCTGCACACTCACACTACCTATTTAGCTGCGATTCAACTCAAACCACTGTAAACTAATCACTCCCTCCGACGGACACACGCGACAAGCCAGAGAGCCAGAGAGTAATGGTTCACATTGTATTTTGGGAGAGCGACAAAACTAAAACTGAAGTCGAGTGCAAAGAAGAAAGAAGAAGGAAGACCCGGTCCCAAACGAAGGACCAAGTCCAAAGGAGAAAATATGGCGGAGTATCAAAATGACCAGCACGTGTCACGCACCAGCTCCACACGCGCGAACACCACAATCACTGCATGCACTGCGCTGCCTTGATACATGATCGGGCCGCGGGCGCCAGGAGAACAAAGCGCTAGCACGGACAACACTAGCGGAACTAGCTGGAACAACAGTGTTACATGCATCATGACAAGAGAACAAGATATTGCATGAAGGTCGACACACATGCACAGTTAGGTGTGATAGTTACAGGTACAGTTCCATTTTACCCCATCACCTGGCGACAAGAATGCAAAAAACTCTTGGCCGTTTTAGCTGTAACGGACCGGGGGCTGGATTGCGTTTCGATCTCGCAAGCCGTAGCGATTACCATCTGGAGCGTCTGCTTGGCCTGGCACTAATTCCATGCCGAGCAGGTCTGGTTCTTCGTTAGCATCGGCTGCCGCGCCGTCATCTGCCTGACTCTCAGCGGCTGTCGTGCGCATCACAGGGTTGTCAGGTGAATCAGGCTTCAGCAGATCGACGTTCACGGTCTTTGGGTGTTGGCGCTCATCTTGTCTGGCTATGACCACAGTCGATGGCGAGACGATAGCCGCAACACTCCATCCAGGCTCATACGGGAACAGCCGCTTCTGCCTTCGTCCAGGCCGCAGTAACAGGACAGGATCACCCACAGAGTACGCGCAGGGCTCGTTCGGTGAGTCAATGAAATCCCGGGCTGAGAGCTCCGTCTCAATGATATCCCGCACACGAGCTACGCGCGACGACAACTCTGACGCCCACTGGGTCATATCGCACGCTTCCTTCACGTCGTCAATGATGATATGGCGAGGCTGCCATCCGCTCATTGCCACCATGGGTGACAAATGGGTCGAGCTGTGCGGACGATTGCGGTAATAAAACAGCAGCACATCGAGGTCATCACGCCAGTTCGGTGACTCTTCGAGGGTCTTGCGGATGAGGGTGAGGAGCGTTCGATTGAACCTCTCTGCTGTCCCTTGGGACTGGGGGTGACGGACTGCTCCGGTTCGCACACGCACACCCATCAGGCGAAACAAAGACTCCACTATGGCGTTGCGGAACTCCACGCCGTTGTCCAGCCGCACGACCTCGGGAGCACCCCACCGAAAACACATGGCCGAGAAGGCTGCAGCAACACTAACAGCGTCATGTCGGCGGAGCGGGCACACCTCCACCCACTTGGTTAAATTGTCCACACAGACGAGGACATAGCCGTATTTGCCGCTTCCATCACCACCGAGTTCCAGCGTGTCAATCGTGACTTCGCTCCATGGGGACCCAGGTATGTCGGCGCGGGTCGGCGCAGCTCTGGCACCCTTCCGTCCACTAGCAGACTTGCATTGCGTGCAGTTATCAACATGTTGGTGACAAGCCGAAGCAATGCCAGGGAAGAAGCAACGGCTTCGGATCATGCGATACATGACCTCCCAGCTCGCATGTCCCGAGATCTGGTGTGCATTCGAGACAACATCGGCAACGAGCGATTGCGGCACGACAGGAACACGAACGAGGCCCTCGACAGGTAGCTTGATGCTTCTGACAAGGACACCATCATCAATCTCCAGTTGGGACGCCGCTGCTGCATAGGGTGCAGTAACCGTTGCACCGGACTCCAACTGCGCCACTGCTGCCAGTATCTGGTCGTCAGTACCTTGCTTCGCCACAATCTTCGCGAGAGGGATTGGTCCGGGCAAGACTACAGCTGCACCTGCGACATCACTTTCGCTGTCGCCCAGTAGCGCCTTGCGGAACTTCACCCACGTAGGAGGAACTCGAGTCAGCACGTCTGCACGATTTTGGTCAGTCGGCACCCACTCGATCGTGACAACGAGCCCTGCCGTGGCAATCAGGTCGGCGAGAATCTGGAGTCGACGCTGGACTAGTACACCGTGCAGTCCTTTCGTCCTCGTCCGGCGCACGTCGCCAGTGACGTCTCTGAGCCAACTCGCAACCGTCTTGGAGTCGGTCATCAACCGCACATGTTTCATCTCCCAGCTCACGGCCAGCGAAAGACCTCGGATAGCGGCCTCCAGCTCCATGATGTTGATGTGACGCGCGTCACCGTGGGGTCTCAGCCAAGAACGATCCTCCATGACAGCGCCATCGATCTCCAGGACGACGCCAAGACCGATGTTGGACGCGTCAGCCCAAACTACGCAGCGACGAGGCTCGGGAGAGTTGGCACGCCATTGGCCCTGTGCAGGATCACCATCACCAACTAGCCGCGCGTCCACTTCACCACACAGCTTCAAGAGTGAGGCTGGGACCTGTTCATCCCATGCCGCGCTAGCGTTGGCCATGCGCTTCAAGTAGCTGCATGCGGGTCTCAGCCAACCACAGACAGGCACGTGCCCCGTCAGGCGACCACACCAGCCTCGGCAGCGGGAGTCATCAGGTCGTCGACGTAGTTGTCGACAGCAGGAAACTCTCTAGTGACCCACCGGACGATGATATCCATGAACTTGGGCGCTACGTTGAGGCCGAAGCCCATCCGCGTCATCACAAACGCTTGGCCTTGCCAGACCACCATCTGAAAACGTTGCAGCTCGGGTGCAACGTGCACCTGGAGATAGGCCTTCTTGATATTGAGTAGTTGAAACTCCTGAGGGTCACCAGCCAGTCGCCATTTGCGCAGCGTCTCCTCACAGACGGGTGCTGAGCGGCCAGGCTGCGACGTCAGCAGCTGGTTGAGGAGCCGATAATCTAAACATGGTCTAACCGGCGTTGATGCTTTGTGCTCCTGCAACTGAGCAATCAGCGGTAACACAGCACCAGGGCTTCCGTGAACATCCTTGTCGTGAGGAACGAGCCAACCCGCATCGATCCATTTCTGCACCTCCTCTGCAAACAGCTGCTCCTGGTCAGAAGTGAGCTTAGAGCGAGAGTACTCACTCACGCCAGGTCCCACCAGCTGAGTCGGAGGACTGCCTGATTTCCAGCGCCAAGAGAGGACCCACCGACGGGCGCTGCTGTCCCAGGTGACATCCCCGTCATCCGTGGACAGGGTGACATCATCACCATCACGCTGCACGCGTACATTGGGAAATGGGTGGCAATCGCCGCTCGAAGACGCGCCACAGACTCCCATGCTGTCCCCTGGATCGACTCGGTCGTAGCCAAATTCCACGCCGATCAAGGCACCATCACCGGAGTACTTCAGTCGAAGCCCGCCACTGCCAATGACCACATCATTGCCGACGAGCACATCAGCGTTGACCAAGCTCAGATTGTCGACCACATACGCTTGCACTTCCAGGCCGGGCAGAGAGACCGCACCGTCAGAACGGGCCAACCGAACGGCAGCTGACCCCACTAGCTCTAGGGGACTACCATCCAAGGCAAGCATGGGTGGAGCAGCCGTGGGTGAAAGACTGATACCATGCTGAGTGGCGAAGGACCGCGAGATGAGCGTACGAGTTGAACCGGTGTCTACGACAGCCCGCGCACGAACACTCGATTTCGCCGCTCCAGCAGACACATCCACGTACATACGAGGCAGCTTTCCAGGAGAGGCCAGGGAGACTAGGCATGGGTCGTTCTCCTGCTCAGCTGGTTGTGGGCGAGCACTTTCCACGGCAGCTGTAGTCCTGTCCTTCCTTGCCAGCCAATCTCTCCTCTCAGGGCAGTCAGCCTTTACATGGCCAGCACCGTCGCAGAACAAACAGGTAATCGGCTGGCTCCTTCCACCTCCGCCTGCTCTTCTGCTGGGACAATTCCTGCGGATGTGCCCAGGCTCGCCACACTTGAAACAGAGGCCCGAGGGCTTCGCGCTAGATCCAGCCTGTGAGTGTGACTTGGTACTGGTAGGACCACTCCTGGTCGCTGCACCACCCGACGAGGCGGCAGCTGACACACTGTCACCTCCGCTGGCATCTGAAATTCTCAGAGCTCGAACAATAGACACACAGTCGCTTATCGACATGTCCTTTCCCACGAGACTGAGCCGTACTTGCCGGTTGTAGTCGGCAGGGAGGCCTTTCAACAACTGCTGCACTACCACAGGATCTTTGTCGTCTGTCACTTTGTGACCGGATAACTCCGCGAGGCGCTTCAGATCTGCAACAAATGCATCGGTGGACACGTCGCACTTCATTTTCCGCACCACAAACGCCTCGTACGCAGCAGACTTCGTCATACTGAAGGACGATAGCATCAATTTGACCACCTCGTCCTGCTTCTTTCGGTCCGCACCCGCCATTCCCTGAAATACCAGGAACGCGTCATCCGCAAGAAACAGAGGGAAATGCTTCATGCGCTTAGCCTCATCATCCCAGCCCTGGATCTCCGCAAGAACGAGGAACTTTGCCCAAAACTGTTGCCAGCTCTCATTGCTCTTGCCCCGAAAGGGCTTGACAAAACCGTCGACTTTCAGACTCGACATCCTGAACTCCGCAGTCGCAACTCACGACGGCCCTAGTTCGATCCCGGGTTTCGGCACCACGTTGTAAACTAATCACTCCCTCCGACGGACACACGCGACAAGCCAGAGAGCCAGAGAGTAATGGTTCACATTGTATTTTGGGAGAGCGACAAAACTAAAACTGAAGTCGAGTGCAAAGAAGAAAGAAGAAGGAAGACCCGGTCCCAAACGAAGGACCAAGTCCAAAGGAGAAAATATGGCGGAGTATCAAAATGACCAGCACGTGTCACGCACCAGCTCCACACGCGCGAACACCACAATCACTGCATGCACTGCGCTGCCTTGATACATGATCGGGCCGCGGGCGCCAGGAGAACAAAGCGCTAGCACGGACAACACTAGCGGAACTAGCTGGAACAACAGTGTTACATGCATCATGACAAGAGAACAAGATATTGCATGAAGGTCGACACACATGCACAGTTAGGTGTGATAGTTACAGGTACAGTTCCATTTCACCACTCTCGGCGCTTTAGAACTCAATTCTATAACAACTGCCACTTGGTGCTAGTATCCGTATGGACCCGAATATGGGATATCCTGTTTGTAACTGGTTGTAAATGCGTCTGTATTGCGCTCTGATCAGCTGGAGTTGCCCAATAGTGTTGTGGAAAACAGGAGCAATGCTTTCGTGCGTGCAGGTAGGCATAGTGGGATGGTCATGAAACCATGATTGAGAAACTGGTTCAAGTCCTGCTTGGAAGCAGAAGTATTTTTCCAGCCGTGTTTTGACCTACAGTTGATTGGGAACTCGTGGCCTGGCACGAGGGAAGCATGGGTGCAGCTAATGGGATTTCGGTCTTTGACCACTTTGTGGTGGGTCTGATCTACTCACCTCCCACCGCTTTAGGAGCTGCAACTGTGCCTTGATCCTTGGAGGTGGTGCCGTTCCTAATCCTATATGTATGCAGAAAACTCGGCCTCCAGCTGAGTCCCACGTCAATGGTGATTTGTTGCTGCATGTGTTCTTGTATGTACATGCATATGATTGTACTACGTGTAAAACATAGACGAGTTCCGGACTAGGGGCCGACGGATTCTGCAGGTAGAATTTCTAGCAGAATCACAGGCCTCTGGAGATGGGGGCAGTGAGGCGCTGTATTGGTGCAGAATTGCATGCTCTAACCTGGCACACCAAGGACTTAGGTGTTCAAGCACACGCACTAGGGTCCGGCGGATTCTGCCGTAGTAGCGTGCAGCGCAAGCCAAGCAGAGTAGGCAACAAAGAGTGGAGAGTGTACAAGGGAGGACGTTTTAGCCAAGGGGAGGGCAACAGAGCATCTTGTCTGGGAGCCATCTGTGGTTCGGAACCAGTTGTGCACGCTTAGATGAGGAGGATGTAGAGCTAGTTTAAATTTGTGAGCAAAAGTGCAAATTAATTAATTTTTGACGGTGGGTTGACAGTGGGCAAGCATTTGCAAGGACATACAGGGAAGCAGAAGAGTAGAGAGGGGGTAGACTAAACAGAATACGAAGAAGTTTCCTATGGTGGATTTCGAGGCGCTCAGAGAGAACCGAGGACAAGCCACACCAGCTAACAGCAGCGTACATAAAAAGAGGCAGGATATACAGTTTGTAAAACAAAATTTTGCATTTGACAGGAAGATGGAAATAATGGGGACGTGTAACCTGGTTTCTGATATCTCGAACGTGTACTTAACTATCTCGATCACCCCTGCGAACGTTATTGCCCCCCGCTTGTTTTTCATGATCCATTGCTTCTTGCCTCCCCGGTTAATTTCTATCTAGCTGTTTCTGGCTAGTTCTATCGCACTTATCAATCATCCTTGTTGGCGTCACGCCATCGTGGAATAAAAGAATAATAATATCACCTAGGGCAGAGCTTGAATGGCTGCAAAGAGCAGCAATAATTATGGTAAGACCAAGAGAGACGATCATCAAGCATTATTCCCAGGTGTTTATGGTTGGAAACAACCTTTATGGGTTCTGGGAAATCAGGATGGTGTAAAAGTGACATGGATGAGATTGGGGGAAGGAACGTTATTTCGGATTTTGTCAGGTTGGGTCTAAGTCGCCATGTTTGCATCCAGCGTAGGACACTGCATATCTGAGCCGACACTCGAGGTACAAGAGCCGCTGAGGACGAGGATGCTGACAGTAGGGTTGTATCATCAGCAAATACCGAGACACATGGGTCTATAGCGGGTAAATCATTTACGTATGCTAAGAATAAAAGAGGTCCAAGTATGGAGCCTTGGTGAACTCCAGAATACACTGGTAGGGGATCAGAGTTGATGGAGAGGGCAGAAACAAACTGTGATCGGTTACTTAGATAGGACTCCAGCCAGGACAGAGCAGGGCCAGACACACCAAAGACAATAATAGGACAGAGCAGGGCCAACACACCAAAGACAATAATATTATGTAGCTTGGCAAGGAGGCCACGATGAAATTGGAGAGTGTTCACCATTCCCGCGACCCGTGGAAGGCCAGCTCTGATCGCCACTCCCCCGACCACCGACGGGCAAAACCAGGGAGTAGTACAATAATTATTATTGTACTAGTACTAGAATAGTAGTAGTAGTAGAATTTATTACTTAGATAGGGAAGGCCCTACATACAGTCTACTCCCGGGGATCCCTGGACAAAACAACCACCTGGTACCCCTACTGGCCCTCGCCTGGCGTGGATCATGTATATTTGCCGTCCATCACGTTACCCTGCTGAGCTGGAACGTAGTGTTGGCATGACGGCCTTTGGAACTCGCTCCTCTTGTTCAGTACGAGTACGAGACTGAATGTTTGTAGTACGAGTACAGGCGGGTATTCCTGTCGGCGGTGGCACGCAGAGAGTCAGCGTCAGCGACGACAGACTGAGTGATGGGTCTCGTAGTCGTAGGTCTACCATGGTCTACGCTCGTACCGGTCGTTTCTCATGACGGTGATTGATGGGTGCGATTTGGGGATTTCCCATCCGTCCACTGAGATAGCATCGCGCATTACACCGAAAAAAAATGTTTTTAAAAAAAATGAGAGGGGCTTTCAAAATTTTTAAATAATTTCAACCTCAAACCAAACATCTCAAATCAAAATGCCACTGTATAAATCATACGTAATGACTGATAGAATGCTACACCTGTGAAGTAAAAGAAAAAAAGGCCCAACCATGCCCTGCCAGCTATTTGGGCTTACGGGGGTCGCCATGGCAAATAATAATATTAAAGAACTAAAGACTATAAAATTAATGACGGGAAGTGCCAGCTTCGGCAGCAACTAGGGAGGCAGAAGAAGAGACAGGTGCATGTACAGCGAAAACAGAGCGGCTACCACGCAGGCACATGACACTCGCTCTGAGCAACGCAAAGCTAAAGCGGGATTCACAGAAGCTTTTTTGCGATGCGACACGCGATGCGACGCGATCTGCGATGGATGCGTGCGATGCGAACTCGCGAAATACCATTCACAGAAGAAGTCAACGATGCGACAAAGTTTTGCTGATTTGGGTACGTCACCATGATATTCGCGCGGTTTGACACCACTTGTAAAAATTTATAGGCAACTCTTGCACCTTTGTACAACTTTGCTGTAGAAAAGGTCAAAATCGTACACCAAATCGCTTGTCGCATCGCATCGCATCGCAAAAGTTGAGCCAAGCTCAACTTCTGCGATGGCCTGCGATGGCCCAGTTGCGGCAGTTGCGTGGGGTGCGACATGGCTACGATTTGGGGTTTTCCCGGTTTCGCGTCTGTCGCATCGCGTGTCGCATCGCAAAAAAGCTTCTGTGAATCCCGCTTAAAGGCCGATTCACAATACAACTTTCTGCGACGCGACATGCGACTTGCGACGCATGCGACGAGCTGCGACAGCGACACACGGTTCACAATATTCTTCATGTATGCGACATCCTCATGCACAAGTAGTACTATGCACGTGCACTGCACGTACACTGCACGTGCCCCCAGGGTCGAAACTGTACTCCATTTGTGTATGTCGCGTGTCGCATGTCGCAAAAGTAATAGTTGAACTTTCTTCAACTTCTGCGACAGGTGCATTGCGACAGCTTGCGACAGCTCGCGACAGGCAGTTTCTTGTCGCAACTGTCGCAAATCGCGTGTCGCGTCGCAGAAAGTTGTATTGTGAATTAAGGCCGATTCACAATACAACTTTCTGCGACGCGACATGCGACTTGCGACACATGCGACGAGCTGCGACAGCGACACACGGTTCACAATATTCTTCATGTTTGCGACATCCTCATGCACAAGAAGTACTATGCACGTGCACTGCACGTGCACCCAGGGTCGAAACTGTACTCCATTTGTGTATGTCGCGTGTCGCATGTCGCAAAAGTTGAACTTTCTTCAACTTCTGCGACAGGTGCATTGCGACAGCTTGCGACAGCTTGTGACAGCTCGCGACAGGCAGTTTCTTGTCGCAACTGTCGCAAATCGCGTGTCGCGTCGCAGAAAGTTGTATTGTGAATCGGCCTTAAAGGCCGATTCACAATACAACTTTCTGCGACGCGACATGCGACTTGCGACACATGCGACGAGTTGCGACAGGGACACACGGTTCACAATATCCTTCATGTTTGCGACATCCTCATGCACAAGTAGTACTATGCACGTGCACTGCACGTGCACCCAGGGTCGAAACTGTACTCCATTTGTGTATGTCGCGTGTCGCATGTCGCAAAAGTTGAACTTTCTTCAACTTCTGCGACAGGTGCATTGCGACAGCTTGCGACAGGTTGCGACAGCTCGCGACAGGCAGTTTCTTGTCGCAACTGTCGCAAATCGCGTGTCGCGTCGCAGAAAGTTGTATTGTGAATCAGGCTTAAAGGCCGATTCACAATACAACTTTCTGCGACGCGACACACGATTTGCGACAGTTGCGACAAGAAACTGCCTGTCGCGAGCTGTCGCAAGCTGTCGCAATGCTAGTGTCGCAGAAGTTGAAGAAAGTTCAACTTTTGCGACATGCGACACGCGACATACACAAATGGAGTACAGTTTCGACCCTGGGTGCACGTGCAGTGCACGTGCCTAGTACTACTTGTGCATGAGGATGTCGCAAACATGAAGAATATTGTGAACCGTGTGTTGCTGTCGCAGCTCGTCGCATGCGTCGCAAGTCGCATGTCGCGTCGCAGAAAGTTGTATTGTGAATCGGCCTTTAAGCGGGATTCACAGAAGCTTTTTTGCGATGCGACACGCGATGCGACGCGATCTGCGACGGACGCGTGCGATGTGAACTCGCGAAATACCATTCACAGAAGAAGTCAACGATGCGACAAAGTTTTGCTGATTTGGGTACGCCACCATGATATTCGCGCGGTTTGACACAACTTGAAAAAATTTATAGGCAACTCTTGCACCTTTGTACAACTTTGCTGTAGAAAAGGTCAAAATCGTACACCAAATCGCTTGTCGCATCGCATCGCATCGCAAAAGTTGAGCCAAGCTCAACTTCTGCGATGGCATGCGATGGCCCAGTTGCGTCAGTTGCGTGGGGTGCGACATGGCTGCGATTTGGGGTTTTCCCGGTTTCGCGTCTGTCGCATCGCGTGTCGCATCGCAAAAAAGCTTCTGTGAATCCCGCTTTAAGGCCGATTCACAATACAACTTTCTGCGACGCGACACGCGATTTGCGACAGTTGCGACAAGAAACTGCCTGTCGCGAGCTGTCACAAGCTGTCGCAAGCTGTCGCAATGCACCTGTCGCAGAAGTTGAAGAAAGTTCAACTTTTGCGACATGCGACACGCGACATACACAAATGGAGTACAGTTTCGACCCTGGGTGCACGTGCAGTGCACGTGCATAGTACTTCTTGTGCATGAGGATGTCGCAAACATGAAGAATATTGTGAACCGTGTGTCGCTGTCGCAGCTCGTCGCATGTGTCGCAAGTCGCATGTCGCGTCGCAGAAAGTTGTATTGTGAATCGGCCTTAGAGGCCGATTCACAATACAACTTTCTGCGACGCGACACGCGATTTGCGACAGTTGCGACATGAAACTGCCTGTCGCGAGCTGTCGCAAACTGTCGCAAGCTGTCGCAATGCACCTGTCACAGAAGTTGAAGAAAGTTCAACTTTTGCGACATGCGACACGCGACATACACAAATGGAGTACAGTTTCGACCCTGGGTGCACGTGCAGTGCACGTGCATAGTACTACTTGTGCATGAGGATGTCGCAAACATGAAGAATATTGTGAACCGTGTGTCGCTGTCGCAGCTCGTCGCATGTGTCGCAAGTCGCATGTCGCGTCGCAGAAAGTTGTATTGTGAATCGGCCTTTAGGCCTCGGTCACACTACGAGGTGATTTGTAATAATTTTACATGAAAGTAAAAAAGGCTATCATTCCGTTGCCCTGGCGAGTTTTGAAGTGTGCATGGTCTCATTCTGTCACTCTGTATGTCCTCTATCCACCTATGGACTTCTTGATCGAACACCACAAACATGAGAGACACAGTATGGGGTTGCTTTTCATGCATTTTTTCACCCAGAAAAAGTGTGTACAAAATTTTACAAGTCAGTAAAATAGGGTCTAACATCAACAAATATGACCTAAATGTGTCAACAAGCTTGCAATGGGAAATCAAGATACATCTGAAGCAAGTCACATGCAGAGAAAGCAGACTGGTTTTGCAGGTTGCCCAACGTAGTGGTTTCTGTACGTCGTCAACTGCGGTTCAAAACGGTAGGGTATCTTTGACCGCCTGCCGGCATTGTAGAGTATGAGCACGCAGACCTTATCTTGCTGCTCCATTTCTTTCAACTTGCAGTGCATCCTCATGCGTGAAATAACCACACTAGGCAAAGATACCATCCATGATGCGCGCCAGCCGTCCCACGACAGGGTGCCTTCGTGCATCTGGGCCACAGTGCATTTAACCGGCACATACTGACAATGTCGGGGCTTCCATACTCTCCAAGACAAGTGCAGTGACTCCTTCACCTGATTCATATACTTCTGTGTTGGAAGAAGACTGCAGACCACCCTCAATGGGTGCTCCGCCGTCAACACCCAACATACATTCATGCCGCATTTCCTGCATTTGCACTTTGCCATCGTGAATCTCTACCAGCACTTCTGAGGTAGCAAGCTGAGTTTCATACGTAGATCTACTGAACAGCTAATTATTTACCTGTATGCCATGAGCATCAGCAGCTTCGGATTTGGATTTGAATCACCTTTCATGATAGGTGAGTGAAAGACACCTTTTGTCAAAATTGCAGTTTCTGACCTTCACCTTTTTGGCTAATCTCTTCTTCAGCCCTGCTACTTTGACGGTGTGACAGACTCAATGCTGGCATCGGTGACCAGCCTAGGGCTTCCACCTGCCGTAGAATATGCTCGCTGGCTCTTGGACGTCCTTCAAGCATCCATTGAGGGATATTTTACCTCATTGACCACACATTCACGAATTTCGATCCATGATTGATGTCTCACAAGGCCGTGGAAGAAAACAATTCCGCTAAACGCTGCGGATGCTTACAAACTACTATACAATGGCAACTAACTTGTCTGTCGAACTAAGAGAATCACTTCATGGGAAGAATGCAATCGCCCTCAACAAGGATATTTTACTCGATTTGTAAAATAATATGCCATGTAAAATTTTTACAAATCACCTCGTACGGCAGTTTGAAGCTGGACGCAGCGTCAAGCCGCAGCACTTGACGGAGACGCGGGGTCACACAGGCTTGTGGCTCAATGTAGCTGAACCATCGGACCTTATTTGTCAGCTTGGATCACGTGATCCATCCAGCTGCCGCGTGCGGCAAACAGCCCAAATAGCGCTAACTCTGGCCTGTGAGCGTTTGCTGCGACTAGCGCGCTAGCGCTCGTGACATACACAAACGCGCTAGCCAGAATGCTTTGACTTTGATGGCTTTCAGCTTCTATTTTTTGAAAAGTAGCGCGCTCAGACCAGCTCGCTCACTCTTTTCCTCTTCCATTTTTTAGGGCAATTGTTTTGTTTGATAGACGAAGCTTGGGGTTTCTTTGGGTTTGCAACCCTTACCCTCCTGGAAAAAATCATAGTTGCTAGACTGCGACACTTCAGACCAGGTACTATTAGAGCCGCTAATGGACGACGAGCTATTTTCCGCTATCCGGAGCTCAAGCATTTGAGCCGCTAAATGGACGAGACTCCTGGGGTAAAGGATGCAGAGAATGAGGAGAAAACACTCGTATGGAGCAGGGAGTAGGTATTGTACTACTTCCTGGTATGGAGCACTGAGAAGCGGTAAGTCTTAGGGCAATTCTTAGCCAGTAATTACTTTCTCGCCATAATTATGTTCTCGTTTTTCGTGTCTTCTGTAATGCCAGTACACTAGCAGTACGACTACACTGTAGGCGAGAGTCCATAAGCCAGAGTGTGCAGCTCTCCATCTATGCAGCATAAACAAATTAATGACAAATTTCCTTTGCTTAAGGGCTGGGTTCCACTGCCGCTCCGCTGCACATCATCCACGGCATGAAACGTCATCATTACGAGCTGGTCCAGCGAGGCCGCGGCTCATCACCAGCTTTCGCTTCGCTGCTCGATACAAAAAAAATGCAAGCCGTGGTCACGGCTTGCATTGTTTCCCGCGCTTAATTGTTTTATTCGGGGGAATTTTAACCCTTTATTACCGGATTACTTGCACAGCATGCACCAGGATTACGAATTTCAGCACAATTTCCAACTTCACCAGGTCATAACTTTGGTCTCCTTCACTTGATTTTCACGATCTAGGGCTCGTTGGAAAGCTCTTGGCAAGAGCAACGCCAGGGTACCAAGCTCCATTATCCAGTCGCCGCAAATCAGGCGCGGTAACACAGCAAAGTCGTCTCCAAGCCTGATATGCAAGCAAATTCGTCCCATCAACGCCATTCCACTCTCCTTCATCGTAGAACGCTCAAAATTGTTCGAGACGATTCAAACTAAGTTACTTCAGCGGACTACGTCAATATCACGTGCTTAGTCGCTCAAAGAGCACAAGAAAAGGGATTTTCCCCAAAAATGGCGAAGTGATCGATCAAAAATTTGAATTTGCCGAGGTGAAAATACGGCGCGCGATATCTCTGGTCTCCGACATCGTAACTCTTCGGCGATTGTTGCATTGGATAGCTTGGAGTTTCCGCTACCAAATAGACCTTTCGATTGTTGAATTCGCACAAGAAATGATCGAGTTACGAAGATATTACTGGCCTGCAGACTTTCGATCATATATGATCGAAAGTCTGCAGTCCGGTAATAAAGGGTTAATTCGTTGCACAGGCCAGAACACGAGGATTTTTTTGGATTTCACGCGCGCGCAGACAGGCTAAATGTCATCAAAAAACGTCGAGCACGATCGCGGTACCGTGAATGGCGAGTGTCACTGGAACCGCGCCGCTCTGCTGCATGCAGCCAAGTACCGTGGAGCAGCGGAGCTGCGGAGCCGCAGTGGAACCCGACCCTAACCAAACTTAGAGCAATTTGAAAATGTTTGACAACTTTTCATAAAAAAACTTGACAACATTGTTCTTCTGTAGAGTGCCGCTGGCAACTCCATCGATGAACTCCATCAATGAGCGCAGGGATAAAGTTTAGAAACCCTTCGAGCGAGAACGTGTTTTCAAAAAGGAAGCACAAATATAGTATGGCCCCATGAAAGCCACTCGCTGATTACTTACCAGTAAAATGGGGTTGGACGGTTGTCAGATTAGCTGACATGTTTTCTGCCAACACAACCATAAGCAGTTGTCAACTCTCAAGACTAAAAGAGCTTGCGAAGAAAGTGAGAAACCTTGGCTATGAAAGCACACGAAGCGTCAGAACATAATCGAGCAAACTTGGACCTAGATTGCCAGTGTCTGCTCCAGAGCCAGGTCAGTGGCCCTGTTTGTGAGTACTTGGACCTTTTGGAAAAAGAACACTGGGTTACCTGCGACCCGGTCGGAAGTCCTGTCGAGTACTATACTTTTTTTTATACTTCGAGGGCATGCCGCCACTGACAGGCTGCATTCAATAGGTTCAAGCTAAAGTACCGTATCACCATGGTAATTACCTGGAAATTCGGTGTGTTTTCTACGTTTTTGTTAAACAAGCAGCAATGTGCCACAGAAATTACCATGGTGATAGAGTAGATGACCGTGAGAAGCGGTGTGAGATGCAGCAAAGGTGAGCCTGTTATTGCGAGTCTATGCCCTAAACAATAAACTTTGCCGTGGAATGATTCTATTTGGGCTGCACACTCTGGTTAATGTACTCTTGGTGGCAGCATTCTGGTGCCAAAGATGATATTTTTTCAGAAAAATAAGCACTAGAGAAATGGAGTGGGAGTAACCTGAATTATTCTATTAGCAGAGCTACAATGCTTGGGATATGAGGTTATTCCCGTAGCTATGCAAAAGACGCTATTCAGTTGTACTTTAGTAGCATCTGGCGCTAGCCAGTATCCACACCGCTGTAATTCGGTGCGTGTCACGGTGCCTGGTAGGGTGGTTCACGTGGCATGCCATGGTTGGTGCAGTATCCCGTATGTGTCCCGTACCGTAATTCGAGTATTCGGTGCGCACCGTAGCATAGATGTATCTGGAGCGCTGTACGAGCTAAGATGTCGGGGCAAATATGGGGACATTAACAACATGCAATGTGAATATGCACGTCAGTTTCGTTTTAAGAAGTGGGTTTGACGGAGTAAGAAAAGGCCCCAGCTTTGGCTGCTGCATGCTAGCCCAGTGGGTACCAATCTCCTGCCATCGGCCGAGTGCTGATGGAACGGAGTAGAAGAAAAAGAAAGAAGAATATTGCGTTCAAGAATACAATTTCGGTAAGGGATATACAGTAAAACCTGTAACTAAAGACCACCGTCACTAGCGACCAGCCTGGTGCTACCAGCCACTTCGCCAGGCACGGAAGGTCTCACATTCAAAATGCACTGTGACTAGCGACTACCTTCTGAACGCGACCAGCGACCGCCTTTTCCTGTCCCAAACACAATTTTTGACCCGTAACTAGCGACCACGATGTAGGAAATCAAATGTTGCTCGAAGCTCCTTCTTGAAATTTTACTGATTTTCCATGGTCCTGAAAAGAATCTTTCGATACTACAGCTGAACAAATGAATGCAGGTAATTTGGGCTGTGGAGTCGGTGTGGACTGCACTACACCTGTCAAAATTTCAAGCGCTGTCAAGAAAAGACATGATAGGAAACGTCTTGGAGAGCGCATCGAAAGCGCTCTCTGATCGATGTTACTACTCGGAGGAGAAACGAAGACTGGGCGGCTCTGTCACCCCAGTCATACAGACGGATCGACGATGGCATCAAGGAATCCAGAAACAAAGCAGCACCACAAGGTCCTGACGCTGAAGGATCGCGTTCAAGCAATCGAGAAGTCACAACAAGGACAGTCGGTATGATTGATCGCATGAACAAATTTGAAGCCCAGCGCGAAACGAAACTTCCCCAGGGAACGTTTGACTCCTGGCTTCAGAAGTAGCAGCTGAATTTGAAGTCTGCAAAAAATTAATCTTCTCTCTCTCTCTCTCTCTCTCTCTCTCTCTCTCTCTCTCCATCTCTCCGTCTTTCTGACATTGCGCAAGTCCTTGGGAATTGTATTAGCTGCATTTTGACATACATATCATATAATGGGATCCACATATGGTCACGCGGTGAAAACCTCTAACTAAAGACCACCTGCTACTAAAGACCGCTTTTGCTGGCACCAAGGGGTGGTCGGTAGTCACAGGTTTTACTGTACCGGTAAGTGGATAGCTAACTAAAATAATTAGCCGTATGGGTTAGAAATAGTGGTGGCGACTCTGGATGGCAGTCGTGAGTTCGTCAAGTGTCAAGTCGACGGAATAGCGCGAGCTCCAGTGTGGGGAGCAAACCCATTCCTAGGTTAGCATCCCCCCACCTCACAACAGAGCAACCGAGTTTTGGATTAAGCTGGGAGTGCCGATTCGAGCAACTGGTATGATGGCTCTGCTTGGAGCCACTAGATGGCTCGCAGCTGAGCCGGCAAATGACTCCGCTCGGAGCCGTCAAATGACTCCGCATGGAACCACCGAATGACTTCGCATGGAGCCGCCGAATGACTTTGCATGGAGCCGCCGAATGACCCCGCATGGAGCCGCCGAATGACCCCGCATGGAGCCGCAAATTGACTCCGCATGGAGCCGCCAATGACTCCGCTTGGAGCCGCCAATGACTCCGCATGGAGCCGCCAATGACTCCACATGAAGCCGCCAATGACTCCGCATGGAGCCGCCAATGACTCCGCATGGAGCCGCCAATGACTCTGAGTAGAGCTGCCAATGACTCTGAGTAGAGCCTCCAAATGCTAATATAATGGTATGCATAACCAGTTGAGAGCATATATTCCATAAATCGGCACTCCCGGAGCGGATCACAAAGTGCAGCTACCCGTGCAATCTGTAAGCGGTGCAAGCTAGGTAAAGACTGTCAGAACTTGATATCACGGGCTGAGGCCATTGCCGCAGCCACCCATACTTTGGCTGCAGGTGGCGTCTGAATGTTACTCGGGCAGACATCGCTTTCCACCTTCCCGCCTCTCTGAATATCGAGTCCCGCAGCTGATTCGAAACGAGTGGCCGGTGTACAACGCCAGGCCAAAGCCACAACTGATGAGCAATATCCTCGCAGTTGCTGTAAATGCCCATCGATTGGCATTCGCAGCTGATGCCGCTAGTTTTCCCAGGTGCTGCGGGCTGCCACAATTGCAAACAACCCTTTGCGATTGCTGCTCTGCTTGATTGACTGTCCATCGCCCTATCCCCGGTCGCAATTGTACGAGCACCGGCCAAGTGCACCACTTGCATCAGTGAATACCAGCAAGTCAGGGGACGGCGTCCATTTAGGGTGTAGGAAGAAGGACCGGCCGTTCCGCTAATCCAGGAGCTCAGGCCATCAGCGAAGATCTTTGAGGCACTCTTTGGAGAGCTTGATCAGGTAACACGGCTGCCGGTACCAGTTGGCAAGTGACCACAATCTGCAATTTGCATCCAGGGGCTATCACTCTTGTAGCAAACGGGAGCTTTCCCAGAAGAGACTCGAGTTGACATTGGGTAGTTGAAGCTGTGTGAAGAGTGGCCCGAAGGAGATCACGAAGCTCGGCAAGTTTGTCCATAGGCATACTGATGTTAGCGCGGCGGGTGTCCAGGATGACGCCGATAAACATTAGGACGTGGGCTGGACCCTCCACTTTTGCTGACGCCAGAGAAAACACCGAGGTATGTAAACGCGCGGCGCCGAGTAGCGAGTTGCTGGCGAGCTAACACAGGTCCAGAGCATGCATTGAGGAAGCACTTTTACTGACGCCAGAGAAACACCGAGGTATGTAAACGCGCGGCGCCGAGTAGCGAGTTGCTGGCGAGCTAACACAAGTTCAGAGCATGCATGGAGACAGAAACGTTAGTCGAGGTACTCCCCGGAATGGGATGATGCCAATAACATCAGGACTTGAGCAGGACCCTCCACTTTTGCTGGGGCCAGAGAAACATCGAAGTATGTAAACGCTCGGAGCAGAATAGCGAATTGCTGGCAAGCTAACACAAGTCCAGAGCATGCACTGAGGAAGTAACGTTAGTTGAGGTATTCCCCGTAATGCAACAGGCGTGTGAGTGCGAACTGCTAGCACATAATCCATTCACTGGCGGATGCGACAGAGTTCCATATAGCTGGACTGGAGCGTAATACAGTCTGAAGGGCAGGGCACTCTCATAAAGGTATTGATCCTGCCAGCGGATCGACAAGGACCAATCCTCCGGGCGGACGGGAATTCGGCAGAATGCACTTTTAACATTGAGCTTAGCAAGATACACCGGGGCGAGCACAATTGTGGAGGAAATTGTTTGGGAACGCATGTTCCGCAAGTTGCATGCTCGAAAGTCGAAAACAGCAATGACATGCAAGAGACATTGTACAGGATCTTGGAGGGCGCATGACCATGTGACTCGCGCATGCGTGCAGGTCGGGCCAGCTCGCTGGGCTGCCTGCTAACTTGCGTTAGCATGCTAACGCTCATTATGGTTTAGATCGCATTATTGTAATGGTCGCGGTTTGATTTCAAAAGACCATAGAACGTGTCGTACTATCGGTCGAAAGTTTAGGGGTGTGGTACTACAATGGGCTGGGAATGTAAGGATCGGGTAGATTGCAGTGTTTTAATGGTCGTAGTTGTTGTATAAATAGAATGCTGAGATAATTAGAAGAGGACTATGAGGAAGAGCAAAATGACAGGGGTGACAGTGTTAAAGCTCTGAGCAGACGGCGTCGGCAGGAGTGCCTACACAGAGAGTAGAAAAAGGGAGAAGAGAGGTCCCGCCGCCTCGAGAGTCGCCGTGCTTGCGAAAGGCTATGCCAACAGCAAGAAACGACGGAGCAAATATTCCGTCGTTTGGAGACTCACCGCCTTCGTGACAAAACGCGTTGACAGCTAGAGACCGCTGCGCAGGCATCCATTCAGCAGGAGAAAATACATGCTCTCATGCTCGAACTTGTTCGGTGTGCGGGGCCATCATCGTGTTACGCACCAGCCTGGCCCTATTCCGTTGATGTCCCGTACCATTCTGGCAAAGACTGCTGGCCACATGTTGAAACAGGGCTTGAAAAAAATGAAATAAGCTAGTACCAAAGCGTAATCTATTATTATATTTACTTTTACTTGGTAGAATGTACCTGTCTGAGAGTTTGAGTTTTGAGTTATGTATCGATGTGCGTTTATGAACTAAAGTTTTGATTGTCATGCACATGTTTTGTATTGCAAAGACGTTTCTATCAGTTCGAACAACACACATGATGACCTAGGCAAATATTAAGCATAGCGAGGGCTCCTGGGCGGTCAAGCCCTCTCTAGCCTTCAAGCCCAAGCGCTCTTTATTTGTGCGATATCGAAATGAAAAACCAAATGCAATAACAACGATGAGCAATTTATTTCAGCCCAGTACAAGTGGGGTCTATTGGAATCCTTTATTTCAGCCGAATAAAACTGTTGTTTATTGCTATCGCATAATGCATGATAACCTAGGCAAAAAAGATAGTGAGGGCCCTGAGCTTTCCACTGAGCTCTCTCGTTGGAATTATTAATATGGAGGTGTATGTGCCAATTTTTCACGTAGGATTGCCTGCCACTTGCAGCACTGCATTGCCTGCCACTTGCAGCACTGCATTGCCTTCTGCAACATGGGGAAAGCTGCGTGCTCAGGCACGTAGCAGCTCCATTCTGGTTGGTCCAGGGAGACCTGACTTCCACAACTTTGCGTGCTTTTCTTGTGACGGGCATATACATGGTACAAAGTATGTGTGTGTCTGTGTGTGTGTCTGTGTGTGTGTGTGTGTGTGTGTGTGTGTGTGTGTGTGTGTGTGTTGGCGTTCCTCTGGAGCAGCTTGGTGACATCGTCCAAGATCGACATGGATGGCGGGTCACCTGCCGTGACGCTGTCGACGCTATTGTCCAGTCCCGCATGGAGCC